AAAACATCTCCTGTGTTCCTGAACTCCAAAACATCTCCCCGTGCTCCTGAGCTCCAAAACATCTCCTGTGTTCCTGAGCTCCAAAACATCTCCCCATGCTCCTGAGCTCCACAACCTCAGGTGAAAAGCCCGGGCAGCACCAGGCTGCCACAGGACCTGTGCACAGGTGAGAACAGTGCTGAGAGACCCCTGCTCCACCCAGCCCGGGGAGTTCATTTCTGGGGATTCCACTGAGAAATAAAAAGTCATCTAAAATTTCCCTTTTTCTTGTTATCTTTTTCATTTGCACTTCAGTGCTCCTCCCTGCTTGTTCTACAAAAAAAAAGCTTTTCCCAGGACCAAACCACAGTGAACTTAAGGGGAAAAGTGTCTGAAAAAAACCCAAAAGGCAGCCTAGGAGTGAGCCCAGAGCTCAGGACTGACTTGGAAAAACAGAAATCTGGATGGGCCAAGCTAAGAGAAAAAATAAAATAAAATAAAATAAAATAAAATAAAATAAAATAAAATAAAATAAAATAGCTATTAACAGACGTGCAGCTGGCAATCCAAGCCAGCACTAAAACACCAGCCATGGTCTAAAACATCCATCGAGTTCAGAGATAGTCACAAGTTTTACAGGGGAAATGTCATTCAGCCCTGCCAAGGGCTGACAGTGCCCTGGTCTCACCCTTTAGCTCCTTTTCCTCTCCTGTTTGTTCTCAGAATAAAGTAGCTCCTTGTATTTCAAAACATCTCCTTCCAGAAAATAGGACAGGCTCCTTTAATGATCAGGGAAAAGTTGGATTCTGCTGGAGTCACATTAATTTCATCAAACATTTCATTATGATAATTAACTTCATCTTTCAGTCATGCTGCTGATGGTCTGGGCTCATCAAAGCCCTTTTTATTTGTCATGCACTGAAAAAGCTCAGATTTACTATTCCAGCAGAAGATTTACATTCACAAATCAGTTCTGTTTGTTGATGGAAAAGTTTTCCACACGTGATAATTTTGTGTTTGCCACCACAGCATGGGCAGCTCTCCAAATTACCAGCTTTGTTTGACACTAAATAGTTAACAGGATAAGTAGGGTTTGATGGTATTGAGAATACTCATTTTCTTGATTTTTATCAAAATTATTCTGGACATGGGGTGTTGAAGAAAGAGAAAATAAAAGGAAAGGGGGGGAAAAAGCAAACAAACAAAACAACTCCTCAAGAAACCCAACACTCCAAACCAACAACCCAAACAAACAAACAAAAAGGGAAAGTGGAAATAACCCCGAGGAATCCTGTTCCAGCCTGGGTTGATACAGGGATCTGCTGTGCATGTGAACTTGGGGCAGCTCTGGCTGTCTAATTTTGCTGCTGAAACAGAACAATTTGGTACAATCACTGAAATGTCAGCCCTGCAGAACCACAACAATCACACTCTGGGGTTTGTCTCACTCAGAGCCCAGCACCATCTCACCTTCCCACTGAGAAAAAGAGTTCTGGAGCAGACAGAGCCTGGGAATGAGGCTGAACCATTCCCAGAGTCATGGCAAGGGATGGAGATGGAGCATGGTGAGAGGGAAAAGTCCATCCCAGGATTACCTCATTAATTAGGGCCCTTCCTAAGAATCACAAATCAGGGACAGGATTATGAGTCAGGGACTGGATCATGGGTCAGGGACTGGATCACAAATCAGGGACAGGATCCTGAATTAGGGACAGGATCCTGAGTCAGGGACTGGATCAAAAGTTAGGGATTGGATCACAAATCAGGGACTGGATCAAGAGTCAGGGAGAGGATCCTTAGTCAGGGACTGGATTTTGAGTGAGGGTCTGGATCCTGAATTAGGGACAGAATCCTGAGTCAGGGGCTGGATCCTGAATTAGGGACAGGATCCTGTGTCAGGGGCTGGATCATGAGTCAGGGACAGGATCTTGAGTCAGGGGCTGGATCTTAAGTCAGGGGCTGGATCCTGAGTCAGGGACTGGATCAAAAGTTAGGGATTGGATTACAAATCAGGGACTGGATCAAAAGTTAGGGACTGAATCACAAATCAGGGACTGGATCACGAGTCAGGGACTCGATCCTGAGTGAGGGTCTGCGTCATGAGTTGGGGACAGGCTCCTGAGTCAGGACAGGACCATAAATCTGGAGGTTTCAGCTCATCCCAGGGCTGATGCATCCCTCTGGACGCTGGCAGTGCCCAGCAGCCCCGGCCGAGCCCCTGCCCGTGCTGGTGCCCGCAGCCTGGCAGCCGTGGGGGTTACCTGCTCGTTGATGTGGCACACAGCCAGGTTCTGCTCGGCGCAGGAGCAGGACACTCGGATGTACTTCAGCCAGTTCCCAGCCCCGCCCTGGCCGGCGTCCCCACAGAACTTCTCAGTGCCCAGGGCATCGGGAATCTGCGGGAGAACGGGACAGGAAAGGGTCAGCTGGGCCCAGATGGCAGCGACGGAGGGGACAGAGGGAGGAAAAGGGTTTGCAGGGCAAAACTCCAAACAAGAAATAGGAAGGAGAGAGGTAGGGGGTAGATATGACTGATGAAGAGATTTATGGCAAGAATAAAATCAGCTCTCAGCCATTATCTGAAGGGGCTGTCTGGCAGAACCTCCAGGACACTGCTCAGAGTGGTTCATGTGTAAAAGGTTCAGGAGTACAAATATTCTGGAAAACACAGCTCAGGTACCACAGCTCAAGTAATCAAAGCAGGGAACTCCTCCAAACTGCACTGATTTTAATGACAAGGTCCTCAACTGCTCCATCTTCACATCATCTGTTTCATCCTTTCATGCAGGATAATTTTTAATTACAAACCGTTCAATAAACTCTCAAACTAGGTCACAGGGCTGTGAGGTTCTATTTTAAAAATCACTTTACCCAGTGCGCTACTTTCATTTATCTGAGTACAGCCTGAGAAACTCACTGGCCACATCTTTGTGGCTGAAGGTGAGATACAATTTGGCTGCTGTGAAAAAGAGGAATCCTTCAAAATAAAACCCCTCAGATATTTAAAGTCCAGGTGTGGGAAAAGAAAAAGAGTTAATTAAGGGGTTGTAGTCTGAAGGATGTCACTGGTTTGCCAGGAAGAGATTTTTTCTCTCTTGAGGCAGTGGAGTTTGGTGAGAGAACCAGAGGAGATGCTCAGCATTCCAGAACAACCTTTGGGATGATCCAATTTGGAATCCACTCACAAAAGCACATTTTAAAAATGACACAGGACACCCTGAAAACAAGGAGAAGCCTTTTGAGTCCCAGCATAGCAAAGCTCTGCTCTCTCCTAAGTGGGCCTCCCTGCTCCAGAAACTCCTTTTTTCCTGAGATTCACATTTCCCTCCACCCCGACCAGCCCCTGTGTCAGTGCAAATCACTTCAGTCATCAAAAGCTCTTAACATGCTTTTACTAGCAATTAATTCTCTCAGATTCTCATGGGACACGATTATATTTTCCCATCTATTTCAAGACACAGGGAAAAAAAAAAAAAAAAGGTGGGAAATCAAAGGAGAGAAAAAATGAAATCCCAGCAATGACAGCAACAAGTTGAGCCTAAGGCTGGGCTGAGAAACCTCAGGGGACAGGCCCAGTTCAGCTCTGGATTCCTGGGAGGACCAGGACCTGCCAGGACCTGCCAGGACCACCAGGATGGCTCCCAGCCCCCTGCACTGGTCCCAGCAGACATTTCCTGGTCTCATCCCCACCACCAACCCTTCCTTCTCCATCTCCCTGGCTGAAAAGGGATGAGGGAAAATCCCGCCATTAGTGCTGGGCTTCTTCCCTCCTAATCAGAGCATGGCACTGTGAGTCACTGAAATGCTGCACTGGGACAGATTTGGTGTGAGAAAATCCTGGCTGTGCTCAGTTTCTCCATCCCCTGCCTGGGAGCACTCAGGGTCATTCACTCATCCCTAACCAGACCCTGGAACTTTCTGGACACCCTTGGTCATCTGCTGGCAGCACCAAAGGTCTGAGGTGGGTGTTGATGGCACAGGAAGCCAATTCTGTGTTGTTTGGAAGTTTTAATTAAAAAACAAACAAAACCCAAACAATAAAACCTGTCCATGTGGCTGAACCACTACTGAGTTTACTGAAGCTAAAATATCAATAAGTTCTGTTTTATCTCAAGGAGCTCCAGGTACACTGAGGCTGCCTAAAGCAAGTGAAAGAAAGAGCTTCTCTTGGCTTTTTTGACCCCAAATTGAGCAGCCCAGCCAATCCAGCCCCTCAAATGGAGACACACAAGTGACAGCAGCTTCCAGAGAAACTGTTTGGACAACAAAATGAAACAAATCATCCATGCTGAGCGGTCTGAAGCCAGAATTTGCAGTGGTTTGAGGAACCAGCAGCCCACAAACCTCCCAGTGGCAGCAGCTGGTGACATTCAGTGGCCCTGGGAACACAAGATGGCAAATCCAGGACACACAAATAAGATCTTTAATTTCACAGCTGTATCTCTTTCATCTTCTAGGATTGTTTGAGAGGACACTTAGGGCTTAGGATGGAAGGGACCTTAAGGATTATTTAGTTCCAGCCCCCTGCCCTGGGCAGAGAGCTTGGGGAATGTGGAAGAGGCTTTACAGGGTCTTCTGTGAGCCAGAGAGAAGTTTGATAAGAGGATCCACCCTTACCCCTGAAAGAATTTTCTACCAAGGTCATTGACATAGAAACCAAGAAAGAAAAAAGGATAAATAAGAGAAACCTGCAACTGCCTATTCCAATGAGCACTTGTTTTGTATCTCCTGACCAATGAGTAAAGTGTAAACTTAGGAATTTTTTAAGAATGCATAAAAAGCATGCCTGCTGAAATAAAAACAGTTTTGAAGCTTTCAGAAAATGGAGTGTGCTGTTCTGTATTGTCTCTGTCTCAGCTACGACAGGAGAAAGGCCAGAATTCAGCTTAAATTCATTTTGCAGGGTCCTGCTCGCCAGCTGTGCCACAGGAGGAGGTTCTGCCGTAGCTCGAAATCACCTGAAACTCTGTGGTTTTATCTGCGTGGGGCATTCAAACCCAAGCTGGGGGTGTGAAATCTGACAGATCAAAACGAGAGAGAAAGAGGTGCTGTGAGAGCCTGAGAACCTGAGCTGCTGTTCTCACACAGCCTCAGTGCCCTCCACAAACAGAACCTGGCACCACGGCCCAAACCCCACAACAGGGACAGCACACAGCCACCCCTCATCCCTCTGCTGGCACCCACCAGACTCTCTGAAAATTGAATAAATGGGGTGATCAGCTGGTTTAGAGTGCTGCAGGACCAGTTCCAGAGGCAGGGTAGCCCCTGGGCCAGCTCAGCCCTCTGTGGCCAACACCTCTAATTAAAGATCAGGTTCACATGCTTGGCCATGGTCGTTATCAAAGTTATTTCACAGCTTAAAAGCACCTAGGAACACCGCAGCAGTCACCCAGCACTATCTGCAGCATCTGTTCTTTCTTCTGTCAAATGTTCACACACAGAATAATATTTTAAGAATCTCTTCGCCTGCCACCCCCAACCTGAGAAAACTCCGGAAAAAACAAACTGAAACCTTTTACCACATCTTCTTCCAGTTCAGACCAGAAGGAAATCAGAAATTTCCTCTGGCAAAATTCTGCAAACCAACTCTTTACAAGTGTTTGTCAGTAAGTTAAAAAAAAAAAAAAATTCCAGTTTGAAAATGCTCCTGGGATGCTCACAGAGCATTGGTTTCTCTGTGTTTGTTTGAAGAACCAAGAGATACCCTGTGCTCTAGGACAGGTGGAGAAGGAAAATGGAGGCAAAAAGTTTTGGGAATGGGTAAATTAAAGATCCCAGATGGAAGCACAGAGGGGTTCACACCACTCCTGGAAGGCTCAGCTCCCCACAGCCACCCACCTGGGGATGCTCTTACCCCAACAGGCATCTCCAGCTCTATTTATTCTATTCTATTCTATTCTATTCTATTCTATTCTATTCTATTCTATTCTATTCTATTCTATTCTATTCTATTCTATTCTATTCTATTCTATTCTATTCATTAAATCTGTTTATTCACAGTTAAAACCAGAACGAAGTCCCTCCCTATCCAGGACTCAGCAGCATCTTCAATCCCCAAACCATCCACACCTGTTTCCCTGGGCAGGTAAATCTTGACATCAGATATTTTGCACCAAAGGCGAAAAAACCCAGAGATGCCACAGGAAGAAAAAACCCATCAGAAAATCCAGTGCAATTATTAACAGGATTCTGACTTGGTGGAGCTGACATGGAATTTCTGCCTGTGCTCTCTGCTCAGGCTGGCTCTGTATCAGTGGAGACGTCTCTCCTGAGAGTAATTGGGCTTAGACATTAAAAGAAGTTGTCAGAGGGAAAGGAGAGGTGAAAAAAAGGTGGGAAGAGGCTGGAGAGGAGAAAACAAAATAAAAGCAGTTTATAATTAGTAATTGGTGCTGGTTTTGCAAGTCTATAACCATCATGTGCTGCTAGTCCAGTCAGTTTTGGGAAATGCATTTCACCTCCTTGATCCCTTTGGCTCTGAGGCCCCACTTCCCTGCCCCAACATTTGTCCCTTTTTCTTTGTCCCCATGTTAAACCCCAGCAGTCTGGGACAGCCCCTGCCCTGGAGATGTGCTGGAAAAGCAGACTTTCATCTGGCCTGCAGCCTGCAGACACGCTCAGAAAGTTAATTATTGTGAGAGCACTTCCTCTGGCTGCTCTTCCATTCCATCCCTCCCACCCCATCATGGATTTCTCCCCGTTTCTTTTTTCATCACTGAACACACCAAAACTTCAGTTCATCTTTTCTCCTTCTGCTGCAGATGGTGAGTTCAGTCTTTATTTATTAAGCCTCGGCACCTCCCAGCACTTTTGTCTTCAAATCCAACAGAATTCCCAATTCCCCTTCCCTTCCCTGCCAGTAACAATGCCATGATTTTGTCTCGTGGAGTCGCTCTCTGGGTTTCACAGGGCTCTCCTTGCTCTGAAGTCCCCCAGCCTCCTCCTCTCCAGTCTCTGCCCTCCAAACAAATGCACCTTGGTGTTCCCTGGGATTACAGGCTTTGACTGGCCCTCTGCAGAGACACGGATTTGGGACGCAGAGCCAGAGCTCCGGCTGGGGCTGTGCTTCACATCCATCCCCAGGCAGCCAAAAGGAAATTGTTGTCATGTTCCAGGGCTCACTTTGCAGCTTCATCTGCTGTCTGCCGAGCAGCGCTCGGGGTTTGGATCCAAAAGGCTCCTTGATCTCGCAGAGGCTCCGCTCCGTAATTTATTAACATCAGAAATGCTGAGTTATGGGGCAGAAGTTATGGAAAAATCCTCTTGAACGTTTACAATTTTTTTTGCACATCATTTGAGGTTTCCTGCCCCTCTAATTTGTGGGCTCTCTGTTGGGTTGTTTCTTTCACATTTTAATGGGCAGAGTCCAAGGTTTGGC